TCAGGCAGGTCTGGAGGCACTAAGGAAGTCTGATGGCTCAGGTGCAAGCTGGGGTCCCTGAGAAGCAGACTCAGAGCCCACACCTGCAGTAGCAGAGGCCCAGATGTAAAGTGGGACTATCTCTGTCCCTGCTTCAGCATAGCTAGGGACCCCTACTGAGTTTTCAGAGACTGTGTGCCCAGACCATGGAGTCTCTGAAAGTAAGTGAAGCATGAATGAAACAAGGGAGGGAAAGCCAGGGGCTAGACTTGAGCATCATCTGCTAACACCTACACAGTTGGAGAAGTGGGGTGAACGGAGTTTTCTCAGCCCCAGAGAGCTGGGGGCCTGCCCAAAGGAGAAATGATCCCAGAGATGGCAGTTTCATCTCTAAATGATGCTCCTGGAAATTAAGCCTTGAAAGCCACTTCTGCAACTGAGAATCTGGGTCTAACCAACCCCCAAATTAGCCTTCCCCTGGTTGGCAGCATCAAGCACGGCAGGGCAAAAGCTAAATGAGAAACTGCGATGGCAAGTTTGGAGCCAACTCGGAAACTTTTCAAGAAACATCCCTTTTTGCTAATAACATGTCTGGGGGCTGGTTGGGATTCTAGGATTAGTGCTCAGGAGATAGAAATGGGTAACAACGGGGGAGGTGTGATTTTTTCCAAGTGCCGTACCAGGTATTAAAATAAATAGGCTCTTGCCTCCTGGAGCTGGGGGTGGCAGGGAATAGAAATCTGGGTCCAAGAAAAATCAGAAAAAGCATTAACGCAGGAAGTGGGAGTAGAAAGGCCCAAACCTGAGTGTCTTCAGCTATTTTCTGACCTCAGAAACAATGTACCTAAGATATCAGAATTTCCTGTTGCCACTCTAGGGGCAAAGGAGGATAGCGCAACCTCAGGTCAAAGTCTGGGGCAGTGTGCCCTGAATGCACTATTGTTCTGGGGGATTAATGAGGTTAGATGTGGTTGAGAGAGAGTAAAGGCAGAGCTTCAATGGAATGAAAGAGGAAGCTGTAAGTGTAGTGAAAGGACGCAGGGATTAGAAGACGTGGCTCTCCAAATCTCACTTGAAAAATGGGGTATTAACTTCATGAGATGCACAGGAATAAGCAGGTATACTGAAGTGCTTTAACCATTTTTCAACTGTCACAGAACACCAGCATTACTGTAGGAGAGGAAGTAGGTGAACAGGTATGAGCCTCTCTCTGGCAGTGATTCTTAACTGGCTGCACATTAGAAATGCCTGGGGAGTTTTGTTTGTTTTTTCTAACAGAATCTCACTCTACTGCCCTGGCTAGAATGCCCTGGGATCACAGCTCACAGCAACTGCAAACTCGGGCTCAAGTGATCCTTGTCTCAGCCTCCCAAGTAGCTGGGACTACAGGAGCCTGCCATGATACCCAGTTCACTTTTTTCCTATATTTAGTAGAGATGGGGTCTTGCTTTTGCTCAGGCTGGTCTAGAACTCCCCAGCTCAAGCAATCCACCTGCGTCAACCTCTCAGAGTGCTAAGATTACAGGCATGAGCACCACACCAAGCTGATCTGGTTTTTTTTTTTTTTTTTAATGCAGATTTCCCCAGGTCTCCTCTTAGACTGAGTAGAACCATCAGTCATTTCTGAAAGAATTGAGAGCCTCTCCCTAGGGACTTTCTTTGCCCAAACTGACCTCGCTCTGAAGTGGTGACCCCAGTTAGATCTCAGCAAGGCCCCTCTGCATATCTCTGATGCTAACCACTCCTCTCCAAGCCTGATTTCTATTACAGTTCTGGCTAACTGTAGCCCAGCAACATAGACAACCACAAAATTCCTAGCTGCCAGAGGCAGTTAGTTCATGGTGTTTGGACATGCAAATAATAAAGGCAGCTACTATTTCTCAGCACCTACTCAGTGCCAAGCGCCATGCACAGCACTTTACCTATGCTCACTGTAGTGGTGAGAGGTTCAGGGACTCTTGTTATTGGGTCTCTCAGTCCAATCTCTTTCCTCCACTCCAGGATGGGGGAGATTTTAGCAGCTGTCACTTCATCAGAACCCAGGGGCGGGGCCTTCTGTCTTGACAACACTTGCCCTAGCAACACAATTCAGGTTACTAGATCTGAACTCCTTGGGAAGCTATGCTTCTATTTGCTTGGGAATATGCAGGCTCCGAGTCCAAGTCTGAGAAGGTTTTATAAATTGAGAGAGGAGTGACATGCTGGGTAATAGGAAACTGATGAGACCCTCTGCTGTGCTCCTCCTGCTGGCTGGCTGCTGCTGCACTGGTTGGTGCCCCTGGCACCATCTGCCTGGGTCCCCCCCCCCCGCGGAAGACTTGCCAGGGAAGATAGATGGGCTCCTCTGAGCACTCCCCATGGCCTGCAGAGAGATGGCCATGGTGGTGGTGGTGGTGGTTTGGGGCTTGGTCAACAGGAGCCTTCATGAGATGTATGCTTCTTCCTTTAGTCAACTTTTGTTGTTGTTGTTGTAGTTGTCGTTGTCATCGCTGTTTTAGCTGGCCAGGGTTGGGTTCGAACCTACCACTCTTGGTATACCCTACCCACTGAGCCATAAGCACCTGAGCTCAGGGATGCTACTTTGGCTGGCACCCTACCCACTGACCTTAATTTCATCTGGCTGAATCTCTGCAAGGCCTAGGGCAGTTAAACAGAAAAGTTTTAATAGAGTGGTTATTAATGTGCTGTTGCTTCCCTGGCCTCTGTTTTTTCCTAGTGTTAGTTCTGGGAACAAAGTACATAACACAAACTTAGTTTTGTGTAAATGAGAATTTATTGACGAAGACACAAGGTCAAGCTTCCCCCAGCCCCCTCCCTCCCCAAGAACAGATCCCAACAAGAACAGAAGAATGAGAAGCATTCTTAGGGCAACATTTACCCCTCCCCATTTCTCTCCAGAGTCCCAAGCTTCACAACACAGACACATGGAACTGGCTTGGGTGAAGACAGACACTCAGGGAATCTCTGACCAGCAAGAGTTCTGGGTGTTTGCTTCCCTTGCCCTTTGTATGATGTCAGCTGTTGTTACAAAGATATACTCAGATGGGGGCGGGGTACAGGGCAACCTCCATCATGCCCCCACAATGTGGCCAAGCTTGGAATGGGCCAAAAGAGAAGCTGTAGTGGAGGTAATGAGTCCTTCAGGAGAGAGGTCCTTTCCTGTGGAGTCTCTCCCTTCCTGTGCTCAGGGATGCAATGGGAAGTAGCCTCCCCAGGGAGAGAAGAGTTCATGGATTGACTCAGTCAGGTCAGCTGAGAACCATGGCTGCTATCCACCACTGGTGGGAGGCTGAGAGAAACCTAGTTTCAGGGGTTGAGGGATATACCCTGGTACAAAACTTGTGTTTTATTCTTGCCCTGACATACTCTTTCTTCTGGAACTAGTTTGCTTTGAGATGAGAATACAATATTTGTAGTGTGAATCTTCTTCACTGCTTGGATCCAATTAACTCCAGGAATGAGCTACCCAAAGAGGGGGCTCAACCTCTTATCAACCTGCTTTCTCCCACCCCACCAAACTATCCACCTCCAACACCCAGCCCTGTGTTACTTCTTGTTGCATATTTCCTTTCCCCACCCTAGTCGTTCTTCCCTTGGACTTTCTCAAGTATAAGAAATGGCTCTGGGAGACCCACTCTCCCCAAGCTTTGCAGCTGGCAGAAAGAAGGGTCATTTTATACACAGCATGGCTCGGGGGTAGTTTTTGCTCTTGTTTTCCACAGTTCCTTCTGAGTCCAGTGAGTTTGATTTGAGTCCAACATGAGGCCTCTGGACTCTGAAGTGCCTCTGATTTGAGGAGGGGCATCTGAGAAGAGTGATCTTGGTCATGAACCCTGAATACCACGAGCCAGGTGATGCAACAAGTGCCCACAGATCAAACGGTGTGAACAAGGCTAAACAGGTTGGTGTTGGGGGCACAAAGCATTCTTTTGACAAATCATATTCAATGTGTCGTGGAAGAGGGCAGGAATTTCACATCCCCCAGTCTTTTCAGAGATGACAAGAATTGCTTGACACACTGGGATGTTCTTAATTTGGCTTGAAGTCTAAGTAACATGAATAAAGAGCAGATCAGAGAGCTGAAGGGATACAGAGAATTTTCAACATCTCTAAGCTGACTTCATCTCTGCACCCACCCTGCTGGCCTCAAGAACTGTGGCTCCAGGAGCACCAGGAAACACTAGCTACTCCTTCATTCTGGCATCTCGATTTACCTTCAAGTAACTGAATGGTTACTCATGGTTGGCTGCCACCTGATGCCCATGAATGGAGTGTCCGAATCAGCATGGAGTGTGTGAAGAGCTGCAAACCAGGCACAGAAAAGGCAGAAGGCATTGAGGGAAAAACAAGAAGAGACAGTCGGCAGGGAAAACTCCACTGATGGGGATTTAGGAGACTTGGTCCAGCTCTGCGGCTAAACAGCCGATAGGCCTTGGCAATAACTCTCTTGCCTTCACAGAAAAACAGGGCTGGCTAAATTATTACTCTGTTTCAACTCTAAAACTCTGATTTTATCAATGAGCTGCACCTAAAAAATATAGGGAAGGGAGTGAGGGGAGGCATTTTGGTTCCTATTTCTTGCTTCTACTCAAATTCCTTAATCAGTGTTATTAATGGGTTGGTTCAGGGGAAAGGAATGTTGTAAGTTGCAATTTCTCTCAGCTTTGGGGCTGACAGGCCCTGTACTTCCTACACCCTGAAACATCATTCAAGGAAGATCCTTGTGCCCAACTGCAGAGCAATCAAATGAGATGATGATGTGCCATGGGGCCGGGGGGGG